TCATTATTATTGCTATTATTATCATTATTATTACTATTATTATCATTATTATTACCTCCGCCAAGGAGGTTATGTTTTTGACGGCGTTGGTGTGTTGCTTAGTTTGTTTGTTAGCAGCCTAGCTCAAAAAGTGCTGGCCGGATTTCATCGAATTTTTGGGGACAAGTCAGAAAGGGACTAACTTAGAACTGATTAAATTTTGGTGACATTCCGAATTACTGTCTGGTTATTATTATTATTATCATTAATTAATCAATAAAGTACACAAATCTACGGTAAACGTGTAGCACATTTCACTGACATTCCGAATTACCGTCTGGACGCAGCAGCGGTGTAAGTACATTATATACGCACCTTGGCGAAGGTCTGCACTCTCTGAGTGCTTTTCTAGTTATTATTATTATTATTATTATTATTATTAAAGGGCCGGATCCAGGGAGGGGCGTGGTACACCCCCCTTTTTTGGCAGAGTAATGATTTTTTTAGACCAGGATTTTTTTACACATCAGGGAAAGACGTGGGATATAGGTAGGAAAAGTCCCAGTCAGCAATAGAAGGGATAATTGATAGAAACTTTCTATCCCTCTTAGGCTTCGTGCCTTCGGCACTCGCAATCGTCTCAGCTAGGGGTTACGCCCCCCCTTTCTAACAACCCTGGATCCGGCCATGTATTATTACTATTATTATTATTATTATTATTATTATTATTATTATTATCATTATTATTATCATTATTATTATTATTATTATCAATATTACTATTATTATTATTATCATTATTATTATCCTCATCATCATCATTGTTGATACTATTGTTCTTATTATTATCATTACTATTGTTATTATTATTATTATTATCATTATCATTACACTCATCATTATTGTTTATCATTATTTTTAGTAGTAGTAGTAATAGTAATAGTAGTAGTAGAAGTAGTAGTAGTAGTATCATTATTACTATCATTATTATTATTATTATTAATATTAAGATTATGATTATGATTATGATTGTTATTATTATTATTATTATTATTGTTATTATTATTAGTAGTAGTAGTAGTAGTAGTATTAGTATCATTATTATTATTGTTATCATTATAATTATTATCATCGTCATTATTGCTATTATTATTATTACTTTTATTGTTGTCTTTATCATTATCTTATTATCATATATTACTGGCTAATATTATTGTTATTACCGGCTAATGGCAAAAACACATAAATGGGCCAGACATCAAAGGTCACACAGCATTATGGCAAAGTATTGTAGCAAAAAAAAGGATAAAAGGGTAAAAATAAGTTAATGATATGGAAAAGAAAAGAGGAAAAAGAACCATGCAGAATTAATTACACAAGGCAGAGGTAACTCTTACATTAAGGCCCCAGTTCCCGTCTCCTGAGCTCCCCACGACAAGAACAGGCAAGGGAATGTGGGGGTGTATTATTGTTATTATTATTATTATCATTATTATTATTATTATTATCATTATTACTATTATTATTATTATTATTATTATTATTATTATTATTATTATTATCATTATTATTACTAGTATTAATATTAGTTACTATTATTATTAGTTATTATTATTACTATTATATTATTGCTGTTACTGTCATTACTGCAATCATTATTATCATTATTATCATTATTATTATCATTATTATTATTATTATTATTATTATTATTATTATTATTATTATTAATATTATCATTATCATTATCATTATCATTATCATTATTATTATTATTATTACTATTATTATTATTATTATTATTATTATTATTATTATTATTATTATTATTATTATTATTATTATCATTATTATTATTATTATTATTATTATTATTATTATTATTATTATTATCATTATTATTATTATCATTATCATTATCATTATCATTAGTATTATTATTACTATTATTATTATTATGATTATTATTATGATTATTATTATGATTATTATTATTACTATGATTATTATTATTATTATTAATATTTTTTATCATTACTATTATTATTGTTGTTTATATTATTATCCATATTATTGTTATTACCATTATTGTTATCATTAGTATCATTTATCATTATAATTCATTATTATCATCATAATCATGGGATGAGTATGGGGCCAGCAGCTATACCATACAACAATAAACACAGTAACACATGTACGGGAATGAAATCAACACACTCACACTAAAAGGGAAATACATGCTTCACTCTGACGTTTCGAGTCCGAGCTCATGATGAGTGTCGAAATAGATTCAGTTTTTATCATTATATTTTTTTTCTTTATTTTATCATCATCATCAATTCGCATTTTGTAGGACTATTTATAGTTTTCTTAAACATACTGTTGTATGATTTCCACAGGCATGGTCACTGCAATTCCCTATGAGAGGAGGTAGAGGATAGACCTAACTAATGAATCACCTTATCAGTATTACATGACCATTTGCTTTCAACTTGTTTAACTAAAAATCCTATTAAATTTATGGAAATCCCTAACCTATTTCCACTTTCACCTCAATAACGCTATTTAAGAAAAAGCTGTATTAATAGGCCATCCATCTGTATATAACACGTGTTTGAATTCCTGCTGCTTATTCTGCTGCTTCTAGTATCCGAAGTGATGACAGGTTCCACGTGCAGGTGTCTGGCAAATGACTACATGCAGTAACCCAAGAGATGAATACTACAAGCAGCCTCAACACATCTAGTTTTGTTCTCTGCTAGTTTTATCCATCCATCCTATTTCTTACATTTCCTCACTGGTATGTCCTTCCTCCACTGTTTTTAATTATGTTAATTGTTGTGCAGTTGTTTCCCCAGCGAAAGGAGTCTCATTGTTCTCCTTCTTTATTCCTAAGAAAGGTTACCGCTCCGAATTATCATTTTGCTATGACTGGCAGTTTTCGAATAACAGAAAATGTTTCCTCGCCCATGTCACCAATTCAGCTATGTATAATGCTTGAGACCTTCAAACCAATTATTAGAGAATTAGAAACCTTCCTCAGTACTCTAGGCATTTCTTGAATCAAAGTTAGCATATTCTATATATCCATACAATTCCTGGGCGGCTAACAATGGAAATACAAAAACGTGGCATTGGATTAACCAAAATTATCCCTATTTATATACTCAAGCCTTCAAAAACAGAATTTCCAAGTTTTTTTTCATCAGTATACAGGGTCACTGACAGGTAGCTTGGACTGTATATCCTTCCTGTCAGGCATGGTATATCCCAAACCCTACTAATACCTCCATGTATAGGATATACAACTTCTTTTATTAACCAGTTATGGTAACTGGAACCTTTAATCTCTGGCAGAGACTTCCTTTAATGATTTTTTTACTATGTTTGTAAGCTTGTCACAATAGAAAAAAATTACTTTCACCACCTATGCTTTGCATTCCACAATGTCTAAATACTATAATTATGCCTCTCTGTTTATGGATAATCAAAAGATAAATTCACTCTACCCATAAGCATTAAATTTACCCTTCTTTATATGTTTAACTCATTTAACTGATTAGTTTTGCCCCTATAAGATGTAGCTTGTTTGTCAATAATTAGCCTTTCTAGATATTTTGCTGCTAGTTTCCCATTTAGAAATTAGACATGAATCTATACATGGAAATTAACTACTACAAAATTGATCATTTCATTTTCTATATTATTTGTTTCCCACTCTGCAATTTGGATTTTCTGATTTTCAACATTTCTAAAACACACAATTAAAATAACTGCAAATTTATCATAACTGTCCCTTGTGGTTCAAGAACCAAGACAGGTTTATGTTCTTAGCTCCTAATGGAAAATCTGTTTGGTGGAACTAACCATCACAACAAATTGTTGTGGATTATCATTTCTCACAAGGACTTGAATCCACTGAATATGGGTGACCTAAGTGTCTTCTTTTGGGGTCTTTTGGTCTTTTTCATTGAGTATATTGTTTGTTTCTTTTTTCTTTTTTAAGGATGAATTCAACTGCCCTGCACACTGACTAAGTTCAAGCTTCTCTACAAATTTGGTAACAATGAGCTACTACTAGAAACCCTTGTCATTTTTCTACACTTTACAGAATACAAAGCATCATTGCTACTGAAAAGGAGTGAAATAGATGGCACTAACATAACATACACAGGAACAGACCTATACTTAGTTTCCATTCAGAAGTTAACATTAACCCTTTAAATCCCTTAGATATTAACCCATTCGCGATGGACTGTCAAGTATCCGTGACATGCCCACTGTGAGTTTATCTATTTAATTGTTTTTAAACATAGATGGCTACACTTGTACTAAATCACCAATGAGCCAGTTACGAGTACTGCCTGTTCCGCCTGTTTACCCTTTTCTTTAATTTACAAAAATATTTTGTTACATTATTTTGCTATCACTATTGCTTATAACATTATAGTAATTATAATGTCTATGACAAAAATAACACCATCGATATTCATAGCACATAGTAAAAAGTACATTTTCCCGCCAATTCAAGGAAAGGTGAAATCAGGTAAGGCAGAGCCATCTGTGTGTAGAGACATTTTACAAAAATAAAAAATGAGCCCAGCATTTTCTCCATTTTTTGTTCATTTTCCCCATCACGAATGGGTTAACTTGTATAAGCTCTTGAATTTCTTACCTAGTGTCTATGTACTTGCTGAATTTTGCCATTTTCTATACTTTTCTATATTAGGACATTTGAGACATGTTAGTGACATTCCATATGAAACCTATCTGTAAGTGTGTACTGTATATTCATCGTATCCTTGTATGTCGAAGTGAGCTATTATAAGTTATAATGAATGATCAGCCGTCATTAGTTATTATAAATGATCACATAAACAAAATAAATGTTACATTATTTCATAAGTAATGTGCATTAGAATTCTATTACATACTGTTTTGTATTCCATTATGAGTTTTCTTTAGTGCATACAATTGCATAATGCAATAAATTGAAGTCAGGTATAAAAACAGCTGCAAAACATTTCAAATTTATTGAAAAAGATTACATGTGTACATCAGAATCCTCACTCAGGTAAAAATTGTGAATATATTCTTTGACATGATCAATGACGCAAACAAAATAACTTGAAATAAAAAAAGAAAGCCCGCTTTTTTTCTTTTTTACATTTTATGCATATCTAGTTGCTACTGCAAATGTGTAGCAAGATTGGTTACAGCTCTGCTGTTGAAACTCCTCAAAAGAAACAGGAATAGGAAATCCACTTGCTTTAAAAGTAGTCAACTATTGTACATTTTGGCCATGACTATGCATCTTCTAGGAAGATTCATCTAAACTGATTTTTTGACAGTGTACTGTATAGCCTATATACAGAATCGATTAACATTCACTACATCAACTTGTGTCCAAGACTCTATTGTTACTTGGTTCATCAACTTCTGTTACCAAGAAAGCTTATGGAAAAATAGCACTAACATCAGGTATTTGGAGATAAATGCCTATTTGAAGACAAAAGTGCTATATCACATGAGAATATGTCCTTAAATAGAATATACAGTTTTAACAAAAACCATGATTTTTAAATTGTGTGCATCCGACATATCTACGCACCCCTAAAAAAATAATTAAAAACTAACACTTTTTTTTTTCTTTTTTTTTTTTAAATCTTTATATTTGCAGGTAAATAATTAGGACAGCAGTGTCGGTGATATCTGGATGAAAGTGATGAAGAAGAGAGATACAGAGATTTACACAGAAAATACGTGATACATTCCTCTCTCTCTTTTGCACTATTAATTTTTATTTTCTTCTCTTTGTCTGTAAGGAGAGGTATCTGAATGCAATTATGCTAAATTATATAAATAACCTAGTATGGTAGAGATTAAAAAGAAATGGAAAAAATTCTAGTAACGCTTTTTTAACACTCAGTGGCTGCTGATCTGCGCAAATTCAAATTCGTTGGTACCAGAATCCACGGCTTTTCATCTCACTCCATCCCATCTCTGGACCGGTCATCTGTGATTTCTCCGTTTTCTGGACTTCCATCCCTGAAAGTGCAAAACGGATTTTTTGTTAAGATCTTATTAGCACAAGAAAAGAACAGGATTTTGCTTTTTGGTTGTTTTTTGTTTTTAACTTTCCTTTAATTTCAGAAAATGTTTCTTTGACACTATAGGGAAAAGGATTAAAATGAAGCCAAAAGAATTAAAATTGAATTCCCTTGCATATTCATGCTTGCACTCAAACAGGACAGACACATGAAACAAATGATACACCTGCATAACACTATAATGTATATGGAGAAAGGTAAAGTGAAAAGGGAAAAATGAGTAATATAATGATGATGAATAATGATAAATAATAGTAATATAAAACCGCTCACCTGCGGTCACGCGACCTTGATCGGGAACGAGACCTGTAATATCGGTCGCGAGATCTGGACCTTCGGCGCCGCCTCTCGCGTGACCTTGACCTCGACCTTGACCTCCTGCGCCTTCTCTCTCTGTCATCGTCACGGTAACGATCCCTCCTGTCACGGTCCACATCCCGGTATCTCTCTCTCTCATGATCCCTGTAAGTCATAATTTTCATCAGATTTACAATTTGTGACTAATCATATTACAAAAAATTAACATTCACATACATCCCATTCAACATCAAAGATCATCTCTACATAATACACACGACTCCTACTCTGCTTACTAGTTCTGAATTTTTTTGACCTTCTGTAAAGCCATTCTTAAAAACTGTTTGGAGCAAATATTACCAATTGTCATCACAGTATGACAAAATGCTATGACTTCCAGAGTTTTAGGCAATACCATCATTCTTTCAGTTGTCATACGAGAAGGACAAGGAGACGAGAAAAATCATTAAAAAAAAAAAAAAAAAAAAAAAAAAAATCAATCAATCAATAAAATGCAATATCAACCTTCTCTCTGGTGGCTCAGGTTCCTCTATGATTTTGTCTCGGGATTTTCTGTCTTCCTCCACATCTCGGGATACTCTCTCGCGCGAAGTTCTCCCTCTCGAGTGCGACCTCTCCCGCGAACGGGTATGGCGGTCTCTGGATCTTGACCGGCGGGATCGCCTTGAACTTTCCCTACTCCTTGAATGCCTCCTGAAATATAAACAGAAAAAAATGTCAGTACGATGAATGGGTTGCAAATGGGTAATAGTAAAATCAATATAAAAATAATATATATATTCAAATATTAAAGGAAAGGGATGAAAGAGACAAGAACATGTACAAAATTAGCATGAGAATTAATGAAAAAATTTAAAAAAAAAAGTAATAAAAAGGTAACCAAATAAATAAATAAATAATAATGATGATGAATAATGATAAATAATAGTAATATAAAACCGCTCACCTGCGGTCACGCGACCTTGATCGGGAACGAGACCTGTAATATCGGTCGCGAGATCTGGACCTTCGGCGCCGCCTCTCGCGTGACCTTGACCTCGACCTTGACCTCCTGCGCCTTCTCTCTCTGTCATCGTCACGGTAACGATCCCTCCTGTCACGGTCCACATCCCGGTATCTCTCTCTCTCATGATCCCTGTAAGTCATAATTTTCATCAGATTTACAATTTGTGACTAATCATATTACAAAAAATTAACATTCACATACATCCCATTCAACATCAAAGATCATCTCTACATAATACACACGACTCCTACTCTGCTTACTAGTTCTGAATTTTTTTGACCTTCTGTAAAGCCATTCTTAAAAACTGTTTGGAGCAAATATTACCAATTGTCATCACAGTATGACAAAATGCTATGACTTCCAGAGTTTTAGGCAATACCATCATTCTTTCATTAAAAAGAAAAAGGGAAGAAAAGGAAGAGATAACAAAAAAGGGAAAGGAAATTCGAAAGGATAAGGATACAGAAAAGGAAAAAAAAATAGATAGGGATAAGGAAAAGGGGGGAAAAAAAAATAAGAAGAATTAGGAAAAGGCAAAGGAAAAGGAAAAGGAAAGGGGGAAGGGGAACAGAAATGGCAATAGGAAACAAAAACAACAAACCTTGTGACATCATAGTCAGCAATTTCCCCAAAGCGAGCATTGCGTTCTAGCTCGCGTTCCTCCCTTCTCTTCTCCCTTCGGCTTTCAACCGTTTTCTGTTAAAATAAAATGTGGTTAGAATTATCAGACAGACACACAGGGTTTTATGTAGAATGACCATGTTAGGTTACCATAGTCACAATTCCAAATTGTTATTCATGATTCACTGGGTGGACAAATTCCACAGCCTTATAAAAACTTTCCTACACTCCCAGGTAACAAGTCTATATCTATATCCCCTTGAGCCTGTTTTGCTAAAATGCTGCTGCTATGTCTAGTAAGCCTGGCTGTTATGCTTGATTTACATGTATTCAACACATCTTCCACAATAAAATAAAGAATTCTTGTGAAAGAGAAGTTGGATTTCATTTCTTATGCCTCCTAGCACAAACTACCAACAATGATCAGATTAGAACTTTCACTTTTTGGCTACATAAACTGTGGGACTGGCTATGGAGTCCTTAGCCACAGTCAAAACATGGATTACAAATGATTTTGTTTCCCTTTTCTATGATAAGATCAAAGAGGTCATCTATACAATGGATTCTTACCCAGATAACTAAAAATATACATCACTTCTAAAATCTGATGTTTCTAAAAACTGGGCATACAAAGGGACATTTCTCAACTTGTTTGTAGGATTGTTATCTTTTCATTCATATTTACTTATTAGTTTTGCATGATATAAGAAACATCTTCAATATTATTCACTATGTACTATCAATTTAAACAGAACACCAGCATAATTACAAGGGTATGCAGTTACTTCAATGGGTATATGACAGACTGAAATTTAAGAACCATGCTGTTTTAGAGGAGTGATGCTTCAGCTTAGCAGTGAAGCAAGACTCTACACCACCATCAGTATACTTCAGTAACATCCACCATTAAAACCTCACCTTCAATTCCTCAAGCTTTTCTCTGATCTTGATAAAGCCCAAGTGCAGCTTCCCGCCAAAATGATCAGCAAGCCGTCTGTCATTGTCATGGATGCCAAGATAGGCAGAGCAAACCTCACACACTCGCAGTTTTTGCTGCTGGTAGCTAGAAGCCGGCATGGAATTACGATACTCCTGCTCCGCAGCTGCTTTGCGTTTCCGAAGATCTTCTACTTCCTCCATGAGCTTCATACTCTCCTGGAAATTATAATCAGTGAATATCAAAACACCCCTTTATTCCACGACATTAAACACAGTAAAAGTAAAAAAAATACAATCAATTTAAGAACTAACAAGGACCTCAGATTCCTCTAATAATAGTAAAAAACATAAGCACGTCTGAGACGTTAAGGAAAACACCAAATACACAAAACATCTATGTGTATATATATGTATATATGTGTATATATATGTATATATGTGTATATATATGTATATATGTGTATATATATGTATATATGTGTATATATATGTATATATGTGTATATATATGTATATATGTGTATATATATGTATATATGTGTATATATATGTATATATGTGTATATATATGTATATATGTGTATATATATGTATATATGTGTATATATATGTATATATGTGTATATATATGTATATATGTGTATATATATGTATATATGTGTATATATATGTATATATGTGTATATATATGTATATATGTGTATATATATGTATATATGTGTATATATATGTATATATGTGTATATATATGTATATATGTGTATATATATGTATATATGTGTATATATATGTATATATGTGTATATATATGTATATATGTGTATATATATGTATATATGTGTATATATATGTATATATGTGTATATATATGTATATATGTGTATATATATGTATATATGTGTATATATATGTATATATGTGTATATATATGTATATATGTGTATATATATGTATATATGTGTATATATATGTATATATGTGTATATATATGTATATATGTGTATATATATGTATATATGTGTATATATATGTATATATGTGTATATATATGTATATATGTGTATATATATGTATATATGTGTATATATATGTATATATGTGTATATATATGTATATATGTGTATATATATGTATATATGTGTATATATATGTATATATGTGTATATATATGTATATATGTGTATATATATGTATATATGTGTATATATATGTATATATGTGTATATATATGTATATATGTGTATATATATGTATATATGTGTATATATATGTATATATGTGTATATATATGTATATATGTGTATATATATGTATATATGTGTATATATATGTATATATGTGTATATATATGTATATATGTGTATATATATGTATATATGTGTATATATATGTATATATGTGTATATATATGTATATATGTGTATATATATGTATATATGTGTATATATATGTATATATGTGTATATATATGTATATATGTGTATATATATGTATATATGTGTATATATATGTATATATGTGTATATATATGTATATATGTGTATATATATGTATATATGTGTATATATATGTATATATGTGTATATATATGTATATATGTGTATATATATGTATATATGTGTATATATATGTATATATGTGTATATATATGTATATATGTGTATATATATGTATATATGTGTATATATATGTATATATGTGTATATATATGTATATATGTGTATATATATGTATATATGTGTATATATATGTATATATGTGTATATATATGTATATATGTGTATATATATGTATATATGTGTATATATATGTATATATGTGTATATATATGTATATATGTGTATATATATGTATATATGTGTATATATATGTATATATGTGTATATATATGTATATATGTGTATATATATGTATATATGTGTATATATATGTATATATGTGTATATATATGTATATATGTGTATATATATGTATATATGTGTATATATATGTATATATGTGTATATATATGTATATATGTGTATATATATGTATATATGTGTATATATATGTATATATGTGTATATATATGTATATATGTGTATATATATGTATATATGTGTATATATATGTATATATGTGTATATATATGTATATATGTGTATATATATGTATATATGTGTATATATATGTATATATGTGTATATATATGTATATATGTGTATATATATGTATATATGTGTATATATATGTATATATGTGTATATATATGTATATATGTGTATATATATGTATATATGTGTATATATATGTATATATGTGTATATATATGTATATATGTGTATATATATGTATATATGTGTATATATATGTATATATGTGTATATATATGTATATATGTGTATATATATGTATATATGTGTATATATATGTATATATGTGTATATATATGTATATATGTGTATATATATGTATATATGTGTATATATATGTATATATGTGTATATATATGTATATATGTGTATATATATGTATATATGTGTATATATATGTATATATGTGTATATATATGTATATATGTGTATATATATGTATATATGTGTATATATATGTATATATGTGTATATATATGTATATATGTGTATATATATGTATATATGTGTATATATATGTATATATGTGTATATATATGTATATATGTGTATATATATGTATATATGTGTATATATATGTATATATGTGTATATATATGTATATATGTGTATATATATGTATATATATGTATATATGTGTATACATCTGTATATATATGTATATATATGTATATATATGTATATATATGTATACATCTGTATATATATGTATACATCTGTATATATATGTATATATATGTATACACGTGTATATATATGTATACACGTGTATATATATGTATACACGTGTATATATATGTATACACGTGTATATATATGTATACATCTGTATATATATGTATACACGTGTATATATATGTATACATCTGTATATATATGTATACATCTGTATATATATGTATACACGTGTATATATATATGTATACATCTGTATATATATGTATACACGTGTATATATATGTATACATCTGTATATATATGTATACATCTGTATATATATGTATATATATGTATACATCTGTATATATATGTATATATATGTATACACGTGTATATATATGTATACATCTGTATATATATGTATATATGTGTATATGTGTATATATATGTATACACGTGTATATATATGTATACATCTGTATATATATGTATACATCTGTATATATATGTATACACGTGTATATATATATGTATACACGTGTATATATATGTATATATATGTATACACGTGTATATATATGTATACATCTGTATATATATGTATACACGTGTATATATATGTATACATCTGTATATATATGTATACATCTGTATATATATGTATACACGTGTATATATATGTATACATCTGTATATATATGTATACATCTGTATATATATGTATACACGTGTATATATATGTATATATATGTATACATCTGTATATATATGTATACATCTGTATATATATGTATACATCTGTATATATATGTATATATGTGTATATATATGTATATATATGTATACATCTGTATATATATGTATACACGTGTATATATATGTATATATATGTATATATGTGTATATGTGTATATATATGTGTATATATATGTGTATATATATGTGTATATATATGTATATATATGTATATATGTGTATATATATGTATACATCTGTATATATATGTATACATATGTATATATATGTATACATATATGTGTATATATGTGTATATATGTGTATATGTGTATATATATGTATATATATGTATATATGTGTATATATATGTATATATATGTATATATGTGTATATATATGTATATATGTGTATATATATGTATATATGTGTATATATATGTATATATGTGTATATATATGTATACACGTGTATATATATGTATACACGTGTATATATATGTATATATGTGTATATATATGTATACACGTGTATATATATATGTATACACGTGTATATATATATGTATACATCTGTATATATATGTATATATGTGTATATATATGTGTATATATATGTGTATATATATGTATATATGTGTATATATATGTGTATATGTGTATATATATGTATACATCTGTATATATATGTATACATCTGTATATATATGTATACATCTGTATATATATGTATATATGTGTATATATATGTGTATATATATGTGTATATATATGTATATATGTGTATATATATGTGTATATATACGTATACACGTGTATATATATATGTATACACGTGTATATATATATGTATACACGTGTATATATATGTATACATCTGTATATATATGTATACATCTGTATATATATGTATACATCTGTATATATATGTATACACGTGTATATATATGTATATATGTGTATATATATGTATACACGTGTATATATATGTATACACGTGTATATATATATGTATACATCTGTATATATATGTATACACGTGTATATATATATGTATATATGTGTATATATATGTATATATATGTATATATGTGTATATGTGTATATATATGTATATATGTGTATATATACGTATACACGTGTATATATATGTATACACGTGTATATATATGTATACATCTGTATATATATGTATACATCTGTATATATATGTATACACGTGTATATATATATGTATACACGTGTATATATATGTATATATGTGTATATATATGTATATATATGTGTATATATGTATATATGTGTATATATATGTGTATATATACGTATACACGTGTATATATATATGTATACACGTGTATATATATATGTATACACGTGTATATATATGTATACATCTGTATATATATGTAATATATATAATATATACATATTTTATTATACATATATATAAATTGTAGAATAAAGATTTTTCAATTCAATAAATCTTATACATATTATGCATTGATTATATATAATATATATATAAATTATTTCCTTGTGTTAAGAATTTAGCTCTAGTCTGTGAAGGGGACAAAATCTAGAGGGAACCATACTTACATCAATGTCATAAAAGTAGTCTTTTGTTTTGGATGCTTGTTCATAGTCAGCTCGGAGTGCCAAGTCATGGACCTTGGGGCACTCACCCAAGTCCATTCGCTGGAATAGGAATAATACATTATTAGAGGGGTTTATCAAATGTCAATGTTCAAAAATGTGGTCAAGGTATGGAAATATTTTATATTGCCACTACTAATGTCAATAACATTATAATAATCATAATTTCTATAATAAAAATAACACCAGCAAAATTAATAGCATTAGAAAAAAAAAAAAAAAATCATGCAAATTCAAGGAAAGGTGAAATCAGGTAAGGTAACACGACCTACTAATTGAGAAATCTATGTACAGAAACATTTCACAAAAAAAATCTAAAATGAGCACAGCATTCTTCCAACAACATTGGGTTAACTGGTTCATTATTATATTTTTTCATCAGACTATGAAAAGCAGGCAAAAGGAAATTCTACAAAATCTCAAAAACCCGTACTCACCGTTGACGAAAGGATCTCATGGGGACAGCAGGTGAGAAGGAAACTCTTGCACACCTTTGGGTCACTGAACTTCAGCCGGTATGTGTTGTCATCACCTATGGGAGAACCGCCAGCCACAGATCAGTAGGTGTTCACAACAAGATGCAGCCCAAAACTCAATGCTTGGTGCTGTATACAAACTGGCAGTAATAAAAAAGGCTACTCATTTTTTTTTTTTCTCTCTTCTAAATTTATATTAATGAACAGTAAGTGTTAATAAAGCTTTATTCCAAACACATTATCTACCTAAGGAAAGCAAAATGATTTTTGGCTGCACATGTTGGATGAATGCTTCAACCTATTCTAAAGTCTTAACAGTAAGAGGTGGCCCATGACCTGGTGATTGCTTTAAATCAGCAAGAAAAATACACCCACAAAAAAAATTTAATTTGAAAATTTAAAAAGTCAAAGTCCTTCTAATTAGCATTTTAAAAATGTTTGTTTTTGAAATCCCCTTCCTTTTATTAAGGTGAAAAAAAAACTATTTCAATCATTATCAAAGAATATCCAAAGGTCATGGTTACCTTCTCATTACCCTGAACTTACACTAACATGTGAGGGTGTAACCTGAGGTGCTAAAGGAGTCACTCAAGGACCCAGAAAATTGATACACAAAATCACTCCACATGCACTCTCCAAAATTGATTTCCACACTCGTACACACTCATCCTTTCACCCTTCCATTTCCCACACCAGGTTACACCACATCCTAAAACATTAGTGATCTTGAAAATGTTCTCAGAAATAAAAAAAAAATAATAAAAAAAGGCTAAATATTGACATTATGCGTCTAAAACTCACAACCAGCACCCCCAAGCCGTATGGAGATATCTTCCCAGCCGCTGGATTATGCCTGCAAAGTATGCCCAGTTTTGAGCATTATTGGACACAGAGTTAGAGGAGGGTAAACCACAAGAATCTGTATTGGACAATGTACCATCTTCTTACAACTTTCATGTAAACTTGCTAAAACTAGTTTCTCTTGTGAAGAAAAGACTGGCTCAGAAAGATTGTCCCATCTCTTGTGTTCCTAAATTTGAATAACAAATGAATCTACCAAACTGGCAATTTGCAGAAAAGAGGACAGTGAGTTGGATAAATTGCATAATCATCAAAAAGGTTATAAAACAGTAGACATTTGGCGAAAAATAGACAACAGGTTATACACACGTGGTCGCAGTGATTCCACCATGTCAAGTTAAAGCATTGTGTCGCTCTTTGCTCCACCCTAGAAGAAATTGGGATTAACTTATCAATATGAGTCATATACACCAGAGGACGTGCATCAAAGCTACTGCTCTGCAAAACATAATGCCACAAATAACACCCTTTCTAGTACATCTATCTCCCCCTTGACTTTTTTTTTTTTTTTTTTTTTTTTTTTTTTTGTGAGAAAGAGAGAGACAGAAAGAGAGAACATATGCATCACACAGATTGGCAAGTGCTTATCAAAAAGTGACAATAACAGCATCTCAAATATACTCTCATGAACAGTGATCAGGATAATTCAAGATTCTTCTCATTAAATATGGCAAGATCTCTGCATAATCATTAAAGAAAGAAAGAAAAAAGAAATGCTAAACAACACTAATGATTTAATTAAATGTATAATAGTAAAAAAAAAAAAATTAAGTAAATCAATAACTCAATCTCAGTATCCTCGTTTTTACCAAAGAAACCTTAGCAAACCAAAGGAACACATGATATAGTAATCATTAATCCCCATATTTCTTTCTCTTTTTTCTTTGAAAGAAATTTGTTGCTCTCGACACAAGCTCTTTGCAATTCCATATTCCAATCCTATGACCACTGTGATGGGAAGGTAAAACAGCTCACAGGATTCAAAATCTTACAATATTCTATCTAAATCACGCCACTCACACCCTACAGAGACAGTCATCACTCTCACACTCTCTTCATTACTGCATGGTCAAAGTGCTGTCTGTGCATGAGATCTGAGAACTTTGTTAGCATTTGGCTTGCATTTGATAAATGCATCTATAAGCAATCTTTGGTGACTTGCAATTTTTTCTTTTCTTTTTTCACTCTTAAAGAATTCAATCAAAGAGCTTAAGGCACCAGTGAGCAAGTTGCATTAAAAAGTTACCTAAAATGTATCTTTTCCCTACAAACAATCATTACAAATTATTTAAAATTATCTAGAGTTAAGGAGTCATTACTTTCTCCACTGATGCCTTAATATTTGCTTTGGTAACATGATGGCAAAGCAAGATAAACAATGATAAGCAAAAACAATTAATAATACGTCTACAAATTATCATACTGAAGAATCACTAATTTACCAAATTTCACATATTGTACAGTTGCACAACTATGAAGCAGTCTTTAGCTTAAATGTATCAATAATTTGACATTTGATAAATAGTTCAATACCCAATTTACATAAAGAGGGTTTTAGTGATATCAATAAATCAATATAATCTAGAGCGAGAATTGAAAAAGTACTAACAAATATTGAAAACTTAAGATACAGCATGAAATCTATTGAAATAAATTTACTGTAATTATAAAAAGCTTCACCAAAGTAATTATAGTTTTAGTTACTTCCTTCTATTAAAACATTAATTGCAGTACCATTACCAACAAATGAAAAACGTGTAAAGGACTTGGAAAAAAAATAAATAAATAAATAAACAAATAAAAATAAATAACCTAAATATATAAGAACCAGGAAATATAACTGCACATGCGTCTTCATTTTCCAAAGAGTGACATCATTTCAGAGGACCATTTCCAAAAAGAATATTCTCCCTCGAAATCTCTGCCAACCTGTCCACACACACAGATGACCCTAACCAGCAATCTCGAAGGCGGACGTGGAGCCTATTCCTACCAGAGCTCCATTTCCCTAACCCTTTCAAGCAACGTCCTAGTCAACGGCAATTCCACATTAACAGAAACAAATCTCCATTCGACTCCTTGAAATTTGGCCTGCTGATTCTCCATCTGAACTAAAAAAAAAAAAGAGGACAAACGTTGTACTAGATATATATGCGGTTTCAAGATCCTTCTATCTGAGCCATCAATAAAAAAAAAATATATATATATATATATAGTAGTAATAAATTATAACAATAAATTATAACAATACCAGTACTACAAAAAGACATGAATTTTAACTAACAATTGCAACATGAAACAATGGTTAAATTGATTAAAACATGAATACATAATCCTTAAACCTTGGACAACACCCCTGACACTGAGGCCTGCAATCGCTGTGGCTTCCATTCTTTTGATGCTTCTTCAAAGGCCGAAATGCTCTACTTATATTTGGCAAGGTAGAGTTTTGACTAGTTCCTAATTTGACAACAAATTACCAATGTGGAGCACAAGCTCTATTTTCATAGAATATATGCAGTGGAGGTTTCTGTCCCCTTATTGGAGTGCTAAAGATAAGGAAGCCACAGCTAGCACTGTGGATGTACCTTTGATAAAGGATTGTGGACTAACAATTTTGGCAGATTGTTTTATACTATTAACACTTTGTTTTGTTCTTTAACCCAATGGTGACGGGTGAAGAAAACGAAAAAAAAATCTACGATTTGGCAAACAATGGCGGCGCGCTGGCTTAGAGCGCATGAGTTCAGTACATCAGCCCGAATCACTAGCTCACTGCCGCGGCGTACAGCCACATGCCAGCTTTCGAGCAGTTTGTTTTCATGCCTATCGGTGTCACCCGTCGTGAAGGGGTTAAGGGAGTTATCTTAGTATTCTCTGTGCAGTCCTCTTTTAAAAATTCTTATGATGATGATAATAATCATTAATGATGATCGTTAATGATGATGAAAATAATAACAATAATAATGACAAACTTTAATAATATGATTTTCAAAGGCAGTATTTAATTACCTCACAAATTCTATTAGCATGCACATACAAAGGTAGACTGAAAATAAGACTGATGTAGACCTCAATACAAACTGTGTTTATTCCCAAAGATATAAACATATAGACAGAGGAAATGGGAAGTGAAATTCAAACATATACATGATAACTGAATTTAACAAGATATAAATGAATTAGAACTGAAGGGATTGCTATGTAAATGTTTAATTCTAAAGCTTTCTCACCCACTTTAAGGGGGATAAAGAAAAGACTCAAGTCAACTTCATCTACATATTTAGTGTATGAAGCTTCAAGATCCTTGTATAGTTCCTTCCTGAATAGTTACCTTACAACTTCATTTAATCTTCTAGCTTATGCTGCAAGTGCCACACAGCTAGTCTTTTACACTTGACATTCCTGGCTGAATGTCACCGCTTAAAAAATAATAACCTTTTTAAGTTGGTTAACTCTGATCAATTCACTGAATAATCATGTCAAGTATATTCACACTGAACAGACTACCTACATTCAAGTTGTTCATGTGTGGACTGTATCTATACAATGTGCAACCCAATTTGGAGACATTAAACATATTCCTAATAATCTGAAAATTAAGTGGAACACTCCTGGTAAGGCTGACTCTTATACTTATGCTTCATGGGGCTTCCAGCCGCAGGAGGAATTTAATTCAATGCATACTAACTGGACGTGAGATTTGATCACATGGCAATATATAAGCAATCCCATTTCATTTCATAATTCAAAAACATTTTGATTTTTGTTTATCTTACATGAAGTTTATGTAAGTATAATTTGCTTCTTATTATAAACAACAGATAACATTCACAGGCCAAAACTAAACCTGCATCTAAACTACATCATTCATTCTGTTTGCAGTCAGTTGTGGGAAAGGTTCGATCATTCATGACAACAGCATACTAATTGGAATACTGTGTCCTGACTGGTACCTATGATGGAACACTGAGAAAGCACTGAATACATTTGTTCTAATAAATGATATCATGAATGTCATATACCAATATAAAAAACTGAAAATCACAATGATTTATGATGAAATATTTGGTGTTTTTCATGCAATTTTTATTTTCATTTACATACAAACTATGCTTTCCATCAAGACTCCCTAGTACTACACTAACTTATAAAGGGGTCCGTAGGTGCACTTAGCATAAAGTACTAAAGTTTAAAAAATCAAAGTAAAAACAAGGATGATAATATCTTGGTTTGACTTCACTAACAGTAGGTCACACATCCTATGAAGAGGCAGGGTTAAAGTGATATACGAGATGAAGTGCAACAATATACTCTATACCATGAAAAAAATCATATAGTTACCTAAAACTTTCATCATTTAAGGATCTAAAAGCAAGATAGGCTTCCCTTGTGACAGTATTTCTAAATTAACCCCAAGGGAGTTAAACAGCAGTTAAACTACATAGACTTCAAAATACATCACAGCATTGAATTACCTTACCTCATAAGAAAATAAAAAATAAAAAAAAATAAAAACAAAAAAATCCCTTTGAAGTAGAAGAGTGTCCTTAGCACTTTACTTAAAACTTTCATGGTCACTGTCATCAAACAAGAGAGAAGCTCATTTTTTCAACATGGGTGAAGCTTAAGTACGTTAGAAAGGGGAGTCTGACCTTTAGACTCACTCTAAGACCTGAGAAACTGCACTGGAACTGTAAAAATCCTTGAGAGTAATGACTGTGGGATTTCACTTCTTGCAAACACAGAAGACATTACTTTATTTTACAAAAATGCTTTATAAATACAAGTTTCAAGATAACTAGTGAATCATATTATTTTTCGGGGATGGTGTTGATTGAGAATATGACACTGATGTCTTGTTCAATGTGCTTGTAATCCATTCTAGTTACATGAGGTTTGAGTATAGTATAGCAAAGTTCCCATTTGGAGCAAGTGAAAGTTTGAAGATGTACGAGGAATTTTTATATTTGCAGTAGCTCGAGTTACAGATTTCACAATCAATGAGAGGCATGGATACCTATATATCTTAACTGCCCTCCTTACCTGAATACTTTTCATAAAAAAGTAAAAAAAAAAAAGGTAAATTGATATTTACAGCCACATCAATAATTCACATGACTGCATTTTTCAATCGTGCTGCTCCTCTGCCGTCTCATCACAAACTTCACAACTAGTAAGGTTTACTGCTTACTACTCAGTGATAATAACAATAAACATTTAGTAACATCCCAGTTATGATGTATTTGAAGTGGTCAAGTGGATATATTACCCATAAATAAAATCAGGGGATCATAAATTGAAAATAACCTGCATTTATTTTTGCAGAAGTTATTGATAAACCAGTAAGGACTACACCAGCAAGGGACTCCAGGCAGGAACTAGTCAGAATAGATATACATGATATAGGTTTGTTAAGTGCTCACTGAAGCACTAAGGGCACATAGGCCATAGCAATAACACAAGTCACTGTGGGTGTCTCAGTAACTTTTAAACATTATTTCTGTCTCCTATTTCCAAATGTCAGTCCTGTTTCTTGTCTCCATGCCTGGAGTTAAAGATATTTTTGTGAAATTCATGGGCTAAAAACAACAAAAGTACATGTAATTTCAAGCCAGACAACCAAAGATTATTATAATGAACTATTTCCTCTTCTAGAACTGGCTAGTTACATTTAATATTCACAACTTCAATGTTACATTTGTACAAAATGTACATTATTGATTATTGACTATTAAAATACAACATCAATAACCTCGAGCTGTTCTGTATAGCATGGCTATGTATTCATGAAAACGATTCCAATAATCAATGAATAATGTATAGCAAATGTGCTGTTCCCAAAATTCTTAATTTCATGCTGCCACAGCAAAAATGATAGCATTGCAGCACAACTTTCATATTAAAGAAACAATAAATAAATAAAAAAATAGAATGAGAGGAAGTCTAGCTCTCCTTAGTGTAATGGGTCTAAACTCTTTAGTAAGAGACATAGATACTTCCTATCCAAATTGCTGACCCTTTCTTTATCTTTGTTTACATATAAACATATTCATAATCATAAGTTTCCTGAATTCCACCTGATTTAGTCACAATAATATCTATATTTCTATTGTATTTCCATATTTAAATATAAATGTGCAATTGCCAATGATGATAGCAAAAGAAGTAGACTTCCCTTTTCATTCTACTTCTGATCTATCCACGTGAAGTAAGAAATTCTGGATTTAACATATATGGAGGTGTTTGTTACGTAACACTAGAATAAATATAAATGCCAACACTAATAAAAATAAATGATTAAATGATATGAAAGCAAGGCTGTTCATGCAGATGGCATATACACGATTGGAATCTCACAATTGTAAAAAGTTCTGGGGAAGTTCCACTGCCCATGAATTTTAAATGATAATCAATGTACACAACCAGATGTAACCAGTACAAACTTTGGTAAAACTGGCACCTATCCAGAATATGACCACACAAAGCAATGCCTTGGTTTTCATGCTTCAAACACCTGCTGAGGCCAACAAACCTCCACTCTTGTACGAAACAACCTGGACTGGTTCCTGACACATTGTTTATCTGGCCACACTAGGGTGAAGAGGCGGGGTAACTGTACAAGACGTGGGATCATCAGTTTGTGCTATTTTCAAGTTTCACAACATCCAGTGTGATCTACTGACCAAAATACAAATTCTTTTTCCTGTAGAAACTGAATTAGAGTAGGCAGTGATAGTCTAAGAACACTGTTGAATCAAAAAATGCATCAGGTTATAAAAGGAAGCATCCTTCAAGATCATTTTGCCAGGGAAGTTGAAAAACTATCTTGCCAAATCATACATAGTGGTTCATTTACCACTGCAAGTTTGCTAAGACCAAGGCCATGACATTGCTGGAATGGAGTATCGAACCTTATCTTACTGCCAAAGAAGAATACACATTTCAACCATATGGATTTTGGCAAGATAGTACTTGCGGACTTTCCTGGCAAGTTATTGTGAAATACGGAACCAGTCCAAGCAAAGAGAAATAACATGTTGCTAAGCCTCAACAATTTTCAAATTAAGCTTTGTTTATATGTAATAATGCTGACTATGTTCTACCTAAATCCACCTGAAACTTCCTGTAATTTTTTATGGAAAGTTTACAGTCTATGGTAGTAACGTGTTTAACAATCACAATCTGCATACCTGCCATTCCTCTGGCAAAGGCCAAAAAACCTCCAACAGATCCTGGTAGCTGGTTTGAATTGTTTATAATTTGACAATAAATATCTAGGAAAATCTTGTCATATTATACAAGATGGAAGTTTGTTGGCCTTTGCCAGAGTGCCAGCAGGTACACAGGCCACAATCTGTTCCCTAAAGATCGACTCATTTACCCAAACTCATTACCCCCCATTTTTAATTAATCTGTACAATCTAATAACAAACATTAGAGTTTTACAGAATATCTTGTCTAACAGACTTGGAATCAGCAGTCCAAACTCCTTGAAATTCTTTTACAACAAGCATCCAAACAACGCTACAGTCACCTACAAGATCTAGCCTTGCTACTGAAGATATACCTAATCAACTATGTCCCTTAAACATCTACCAATAACCATTTCAGCTCAATGAATTCTGAATAACCTAAAATCAACCACCAAAATAACCCGGAGGCATGTTTCAAAGCATAGTTTGATCTCGGTTGTCACATGTGAGATCACAAAAAAGGTTGACGCAATAGTAGAGTGAAGAAATTCTTGACCATGAATAAAATACAACAGAGCTGCTTCAATACTGCAATCCAAATAACTAAATAAAGGAGAGAGGGAAGGAGAAAGAGAGAGAGAACTAAATGGTGGCCCGATTTAGCCTCGTCACCTTTATAATGGCAGTCTCGTATTGTCTCGTCTTTATGTGACTCCCGGCCATATTTCATTTATATATCTCGCCGTACCATCTTTTTAAGTGATTACTGTACATCTCTCAAATCACGAGTTCCAAAGAAAGGAAGCTGAAATCTCCAGAAAAAGGAACAGAGCTGCGTGGTGGTTAATCCTCGCCATTGTCGTCCCACAGCGCCACCATCATCATCACTTTCTACCAAAATCACACACAAAAAAGAATGCCATTCTCCGTTCTAACACGTATCGCCTCTCTACTAACCATTTCTGGACGTCCCCATCAGCTGGTCGAGCATCGCACGCATCTGGTCATGCGCCGACATGTTGCAGGCGCTGAAAGTCGGCCCCAGAAAGCAAGGAAATAGCCACGCAGGGAAGCCTTGTGGAGAACCTCCTCCGCCTCGCCGACGCTCGAGCTCCTCCCGTGGCCGTCGCTCGCTCGCCGCCCGCGCCTCCCGTCGGTCGATCCGCCCCGACCCACAATGCCCCGCCCGGACACGTGAACGCGCCGCGCTAACTTTGATTTGGGACCTGGGATGGTGTGCTCCTTTGATTTGGGACCAGGGGTGGTGTGCTCCTTTGATTTGGGACCAGGGGTGGTGTGCTCCTTTGATTTGGGACCAGGGATGGTGTGCTCCTTTGATTTGGGACCAGGGGTGGTGTGCTCCTTTGATTTGGGACCAGAGGTGGTGTGCTCCTTTGATTTGGGACCAGGGATGGTGTGCTCCGGCGTCCCCTGGGGCTGGGGATCAGG